ATCCGACAAACTCACCGAGTCGTTGACGGGGAGCAGTCGGGCAGGTTTGAGGGAATTAACCCGATTCCATGTTCGGGAGAATCAGGACCTAGCTTCGAGCCTCGATCGAAGCCCAGAAATCCGAGCTAAGGCCTTGAAAAGCCGGGGAAGCGTTCCACACGAGCTCGGAGCCCCACTCAAGAACAGGCGTATCGTTCCCCCGATGAGAGACTTTCTCCCGAAGTTTCCTTCCTCCCATCCAAGCTGTCAACGCTTGCACAAACGAATAGACGGACAGCGGAACAGATGGTTAGACAGAAAGTTACTGATTGCAGATGCCTCTAGGGATCTCCTTGAGAGTTTGAACAAAGATTCCAGAGTCGTCCAGAGCCTCTCCCAGTGAGCGGCGCTTGACTCCAGTTATTTATCTCTCATTTCGAGCGTTCCGCGACAGTTTTTGCTGCTTCCAATACCCCCGCGTGTCGCTGGTGGAAAGCCAAACCAAGAGGAAGAAAGGCCCACCTAATTGTCGTTCGACGATGAGTGACTGAGTTAGGCAGTGGAGCGTGGATACAGACCAGTCTTAGAGTCAGGTAGTGCTGTCAACCTAGTCTCTCTTCTTCTTCTTCTTCTTCCTTTCCTCCTCGAAAAAGTAGCGGAAGAAGAACGTGAGCCGCGAGGAGCGCAGCGAGCGGGGAAAAGAAACCTCGGAAGGGCGGCGGATAGGTTGATAGACCGAAACAAAAGCGAGATAGGGCAGGGGAGAGGGGGGGGGGATGGGGATAAGAAGGAAGCAAGCGAGAGAGAGACAAAGCGGCGCGGGAATAATTTGGCCAGTCCGTTCTTATCCATGTGAACTCCGGCCTCCGTTTCACTTCGTTCGGAGCCTGGACTCGGGCTCTGGACCTTCGGAGCCAGCCGGCCCTCCGTCCGCCGGCTCGGGCTCAGTTGTGAAGGTTCCATTGCGTATGGGGAACTCCTTGTTCGCGGACAGCGCGAGTGGAGTTCTCCTCTCGGCTTCACTCCTCTTCAGAGGTCTGGTCTCCAAGTCTCAATCTCTCGCCATCTGCGGCCCCCAGTGGTGCGGAGGGCCGCTGCATTATTGACAACGTCGAATCAACAAGAGAGCAGGGCAGACGGCCGGCTAGCCGGCTCGCAACGGTACCTGAGCGGGACGTGCTCAGCGGGATCGTCGTTCCCACCGCCGCGCCGCCGCCTCGGCAGATGCTTTCGGCCACAGAACCCCGTTGTTGTTATTTGGGGAGGGAGGGGGGCGAAGGGGGGGAAGGGGTTTGACCCCACGGCACGCCGTACGCTAGTCTCACAGTGATTGCGGACTTTTCGCACACAAGCTCAGCTGAATCTCGGGCCGAGGCGCCGACGATAGAAGATAATCTTGGAGTGCTGCACGGAGTTCCACGTCGAACGAGCGCCGAACAATCGGGGGGCGTGAAACAACGCGGTCTAAGGAAACAGTTCCGTTGGCTTCCCTGATCCCTCAAAGGAGTTGTTCGACGAACGGCTTCGGAGCTGCTTCGCCGGTTGGTCGTTTGCCGGTGCGCTAGGTTAGGAGGAGGTAGGTCCACTCTGATTGAAGTCTTGTGGATGACTTTCCGTTTTTCTCCCACCCGGAGCTGCCATCGTGGTCCGGCTCACCGCCTACTTCTCGCCGTCTCCTCTGCCAAGCACGCCCCTTCCGCGCTTCTCCGTCTCGAATGGGAAAAAAGAACTCGGGCAAGGTGGAAATTTACAGAGATTTGTCTTTGCGTTCCCCGGTGGAGAAGCTTTGTGATGGTTGACTTTTTCCTCCGAGCTGTACGTCGCTCTTCTCGATTTCCTTCCATTCTGCCGAGCGTTCGCACGAACGACCGTTGCCAAGGCCGGTGTTCTCCGCTTGGAGGAGCATTCGACCAGCGGGGAAAATTCAGCGTGGTCAACTCCTACCGTTCGTCCTTCTTGGGCTGCTTCGGTGCAAAAGATATGATGATACGAAAAGAAGGACAACGACGTGCCGGAGAAAGACCTCTACGTCGACGAAGGCGGCGACAATCACGAGGGCCACGGCCGGATGACCGGTCGACAGTCTGTCGGTGGCTCGCTCGAACTGTCCTCCTTCCCCCGCACCCCCGCTCCTTCTTATTTATGGCATCGCGGGGTTTTGCTTCTCGCCGCCCGCTGCTTACTCGGCCAGGAGTTCGAATGCCCGGGCTGACTGCAGTTGGTCGCTGTCCTACAACAGCTGTCTTTTACGGCGGTGCAGAAGTGGACAGAGACTAACTCTTTGTCTCTTGCCCTCCTCTCGTCGCAGTGTATATCTTTCCCCGTCCGGGCCCCGACCGACCGTCTATTCTGCCTCACTGACTGAGACAACGACAGGCCGTACGGGTGTACTTTTGCGTACATGTGCGAGCGAGCAAACGAACGAGGAATCTTGCGCGTGCGACCGATTTGTGCGGTTCGCGCTCGAGTTAATTTGATTATTGAGCCTTCGCAATGCGGCACGGCGAACGACTCAAAGAGTTAGTCGCCTCGCTAGCCCGGGAGGGCCGAGGACGGGGGAACGACTCCAACATATAGGAAAGACCTTTTGTTAATGGACTCGACGGACTATTCTCGCTGAGCAGTCAGTCGGCTGACCGGTCGGTCGGTCCCTTCCTCTCCCCTTCTCCTCCGGTCTTCTGACGCAAGTGGTTGCGTCTATTCTCGTGTATCCCTCCACGGATGAGGGTTCGGCTGGCGGCCAAGTAGGTCGAAGGCTGGCCTACAGGGTTTTAACGCAGAGCACAAAGAGGAGAACATGCTCCGACAATTTATTATTGTACGAAGTATTCCTTAGTGGCCTCTTCGAAAAAAGGAGAGAAAGATTTCCTGCCGCTATATGGGAGCGGACCTGCCAGGAGGAGGTCGTCGTCGTCGTCGACGACGAGGTTCGACGTTGAGAGACCCTTCGGTCTTGGCTCCCTCTCGTTTTCTTTCTTTGACTTATATCTCTTCCTGCCGGCCCGTCTTCCGCCACGGCTCTCGCTGAGCAGCGTTTTCCTCTTGTTTCCAAAGCCAACTTTTTTCTTGGGGATCGCGTTTGAGCAAGCGACCGGCTGAGGTCGCTTACTTTCCGCGAAACCCTCCTTCCGCTCAAACGAAGTCGACGGGCAGCTTTTGTCTCGTCTCCCCGTGTCCCACGGATCCCTCTTCTAGTGTTTCTCGGACTTTTTCCTGCTATTCTTCTCCTGCTCTAATCTCGTTGTTCGTGTTTTCTGGCCTGATGTCGTCGTTGGCGGCCAGGTCGACGCTGAACTTTCGTTCATCCTCGGGACGTCGGAATTGCGCCCGTGATTTCCGTGTCTCAGACATGTTTTCTCTTATTTCCCCCCGACCTCCCACAGCACTCCGTCTCCTTTCCGCCGTCTTCCACCCGGGTCCCTCCGCGTCCCTCTTCTCGCAACGTGAACACCGATGTGATCAAGTACCGATGTGTAGTGTAGATCTCCGTGGACATGAACCATCGTAGCCTTCTCCTTCTTGTCCTTGACTTGGTCCCTCACGTCCAAGGGAACGTTTCTCCGATTTTTTCTGCTCCGTCGGGTCACACCTCGATGTCTTCAGTCTCCTTGTGCGCTGGTCCCGAGCATGGTTTATCGGCCGGCTCTCTACCCCGTCGATTTCCCGTCGCTTCCCCGGACGATCAGTGGATGATACCTTAGAGAGAGCCTACCTGTACAGATCGTGAGGCGATAAATTCCTTTATGCGTCTGGTCTTTGTTCCCGAAAATAGCGAGCGATCGTCCCAATAGGCAGACGTCTGCTAGAGCAACACAGCCGTATAAACAGCATATATAATCATTGCTGTTAATCTCTGACGGGACCGCGGGGTCCCGAAGTTCCCCTATGTTTAGATGACTATCTCCCGGGATGGAAGCGATCCTATGCCTTTCGCAGTTGGGCACTTCGTCTCCGGTAGCACGTCGTCTGGTTGACTTTCTTCCGTCTGGCCGAGAACTATGGTGTACGAAGTATGATCGATGAGCGTGCCGTTTAAACCCTGGCTCAATCCCCTCTCGTGCACGTGGATTCCACCGGATATCTCCATGGCAACTCGAGCTCATGGGCATTCGCTGCTACGAGATCTTCTGCTGGAAACGAGGACGATCGGTCCCCGACTGAATAATATCGCGGTGGAAACTTTTGTCCGATACGATCGCCTCCGATTGTGCGATTGCAGCATTCCGCTGAGGTTTCGCGACGTCATCAGGCAATCACGGTGGACGTCATCGGTTGCTGCATTTCAGATTACCAGCTCCTCTCTCAAGCTCCGAGGAACGACGGAGCTGCTTCTTCTTCGCGTAATTAACTCGAGTTTCCCAAGATGCCCAAGTCACTTATGACGACGATTCGTGGGTGTTGATTGTGCATGTCAATGCAATCTGCCGGTATCCCACGGTTTCACGGAATCCTGTAATCCTGACACAGCAGTCCTGACTCGAGCTTCGCCGATTCTCTCCCGGGGCTGAGTGAGGCGAATTGCGGCGGCTGTGCAGCTCAAGGAGCCCCTGGGCGATGTGGACAATCTGTTGATCGAAAGACACGTCTCCGGCGGCGTGCGAACTTCATATTATAATTGTTTACCGATGATGAAACAGTCGCACACTGCAAGGCTCATTGGGATTTAACGCAAATTAGTCACGTAGCGTCACCGTATGGTTAATGAAGCCGGAATTAGCTCCGGGGCGTTTCACGAACAACTCCTTCAACGGCCTCCGAATCGAGCCTGAGACGGGGGAGGTTGTGAAGCGAGCTCGGAACTCAGTCAGTTAGCGACTCGGACGTTCTTTTCCATTTCTTAGCGAGCCCCAACGTCGCGTAGTCGGCATAAAAACGCCCTCCCACCACCTTCTCCAAACCCCTGAGATTTCTGCCTTTCCGCAGTTGATGGACAGACAGCTGCGTCTGGTTCCAGCGAAAGGAGTGGCCGGGCGAGATTGACGGGTGAACATCCTCGAATGATGAATAATATGAAGAGGGAAATGAAGATAGGTAACTGTATATTGAATGTGTGTCGGCGGTCGCTCGGTCAAATTGGATCTCCACGACTCGAACTGACTCGATATTAGCGTTCGTTCACTCTCACTCATCGCCCGACCGACATTGTTTTTCCCATCCATCTGCCAGGCCTAGCTGACGACGTTTATTGATTTTTCGCTTGACGGGCACTAACGCTGCGAACGTCAAAAAAAATTATGAGAGCATCCTCTCCTTCATACTGTCCTTGCGGCTGAATTGAATTTGATGGGCTATCGCATCAATCCATCACCGTTTCCGTGGAGGTTGCGTGAAAGATTCGAGCGGAAACCCTCCGTCTGCTCTGAAAATATTTGTACCCAACGTTGCCACCTGCTGCCGCGGTATCAGTTCAACACGGGACTGAATTCAGGAAATGTTGTACTGGGACCCTCCGGCAAGCCCAAAGCGACTCATGATCTCGCAAAATTATTATACTTAGATCTTCCGGGAGGAAATCAATAATCATCGTCATCATTCATAGCTGAGGTGATGCTCTGAGTAAATTGATCCATTGACGTCGGATTCTCCGTTTTACAGGCGGACGAGCTTCGTGCGAGTTTCCGGAGAGCATGCAGGGCCAGTGGTTCCAGAAATCGTACCACGAAGACATCATAATCACTAAAACATCGCTGAGTAAACATGGACAGTGTCGTGAGCGGCGGAACGACAAGTTCCTGCTTTTCAACACGTAAGTACCTTCAGGGAAACAGATCTCCGTGCTCCGAACCTAATGATAGTCGATGCGTAAACGAGACCGACTCGGGAAACTGGATTGCGGCTTCCTCGAGAATGATTTCGCAAGGAAACGATCCCGGCTACCGCGCGGTAACTGCGGGGGAGAAGTCGACAGGGCAAGCGGACGAGCGAGAGCAACGCTGAGAGACTGAGAGCAAGACATAGAGAAAGCATGTTGGGGATAAAGCGATTGAAAGCATTCGCTGCACGCATTTTCGCTACGCTCATGAAGATATATGTGCTCCATGGAAGCGGGACGTGTCCGTCCGGTAGCTCGGGACGAAGCTGTGCAAAAAATTCTTTCTGCTCGCTCGCCTTCCTTGCGGCAGGACGCGGGATGGGCTGACGGACTGACGGACGGACTATTTCAGGCACCGGAGTAGCAGCGCTTCTTCCTAATTCGCTCCGAAGAGCGGAAGTCTTTTGAAAATCGAACGATATTTGCTCAATGCTCGTGGGGTCAGGGATTCGTCTCCCTTTTCGAGTTCAGAGTACAGAAATCGGATGGAATTACCTCGAAAGTCTCCGAACTCCTCCGGTCGACTACCCAGACATGCTTCCCGAGGCAGGGAACCGACCGGTCCGTTAGCGAGTGGCTTGTGCCTCTTGGCCGCTCCCTCGAGCGCGTCAGGTTCGGCCGTTGGATACTCAATGGAGGAAGGATGTGATTGCGTGTCCTCCATTTTCCCGCCTGTTCTTCCGCTCTCCCCAATACTTCGGCGACTTTTTCGGGCTCTCCTTTACTTCTGGGAATATGGACTCTTGCCCAGACATCGTTTGCTCTCTGCAATTCCTTGAAGATGCAGATGGGTATAATCGATTTCCCTTCATGTAGACTTCAGTGAGAGAGACCCCACTGCTTGTGTGCTTGCGAGGCGAAATACGACGGTGATGCGAAATGTGGTATTCCGGGGGGAGGGAGGGGAGGGGTGACTGAGCTCTGCTCGACATAGGGTTACGCCTCCCCCAAAGGAAATCCCGCGCGAGCCCCTCTCCCAGTGCAAGGCCCCTGTACATAGTTTCACAGTTTTGCAAACGTTGCATGCTGCGTCCTATTGAGCTGCCGCTCGACTGATCCGTGGCGGCAATCGTTGGCGACTCGTTGAGGAAGGGGATCGAGCGGACAGTCGCTTGTTGGAAAACCCTACGGAAGATTGAGGGGATGCCCCAGCTCCGTAGAGGTGGACTGAAATGTCACCCGTGCTCCAGGGCCCCACCCACTTAGGCAAGAAGGGACACGCTCACAGTATCACGCAGGCTGTTTCTCATACTATTTTCTATATAATACATTTCGCTCTCGTGTATTTCTCTCCACCGTTCTCTCCCTTTCGCGAATCCTTATCCTCTTCTCGTGTTGGGTCTTTCTGTCCCGCTAAACGGGAACGACGGAGAGGAAACGTGGGGAAATTGTGTTGTTGTTGCTGCCGCTTCTGCTGCTGCTGTCGTGCTTACGCGGCTTCCACATAATGCCCGTCGAGCGAGGGAGCGAGCAACCAACCAACCCACCCACCGAGCGGGCTGTCCGCTCGTCTTCGTCCTAACCGGTTGGCCGCGTGCGGGTGATGACGGCGAACGCCATAACGAACGATTGGTTGCTTGGCTGGCTGGTTGCTCGCTCGGTCGGCTTGCCCCAGCTCCTGTTTGAATAGCATACAATTTATGAGCCTTATCGGGAGGATTTCTTCATTGGCAATGATTAACGGGGTGTTCATCCATCGCTTCATGTTCGGCGCTCGTCTCTCGTCCAAGCGAATAAAACACTTGATTGGCCGCTTGCGCGGCTCGCTTGACACCAACAGCTTCATCGAGTGAGCTCCACGATGTGAGCGAAGCTCCACCGCTGTCGATCCCCCCTCCCCCAGGCTCCCGGAATTGCGTCGTCTTCGCCGAGATCGAACCTGCGAACTATCCGGCGAACCCGCTGCGCCGGCCGTCGCCACCAAGCCGGCGACGACGGCTCATCCGGGAAGATTTGGTGAACTCAGTGACCGGCTTCCGCTGACCGAATTCGGCCGCCTGTCCGATGGCCGTCCGGTCTCCGACCGGTCCATGCGGAAAACATTGAGCAAGCGTGTCGGAGAGAATCACTCTGACGAAAGCTGCTACGGCGGTCGAGTCAGCAAAGTGCTCAAGTTTCTTCTCTCTCAACCAAGCGCTCGCTCGCTCGCTCACTTCCCGCGGGGTCTCAGATCCTCCGGGTCATTTCCCAACAGCTGCGCCTGCTTTGGCTGGTAATGCAAATGTTCTCAACCCTACTACTACACCACTACTACTGGTCGCCGCCGTCGTCCGCATCGCCGCGACGTCCCCCACGCCCCCCGCCCTTCCGTCCGTTCGTGGCGGTTCCTCGAAACTCGACGCCTCTCGGTTCGCCGTCGATGTCGTTGCGGGAGACACTTCTTCCCGAATCGATCCAACGTCCCGTTCACCGCAGCGCCGGCGGCCTGCGGACGCGAGTAATCTTCCGACTCACCCTCTGAGCCGGTATGAGAACTTCGGCATGTACGTACGTATTCGTATGAGTGTATGGAATATACGTGAAATGCGTGAAGGGATACGTGAAATGCGTGAATATATGCGTGAAATGCGTGAATATATACGTGAAATGCTTGAATGTATACGTGAAATGCGTGGAGGCAAGAATATATACGTATTTCCTGACATAAATGCATCGAGCGATACGGGAACGGGACGTCCTCTTGCCTCCTCTGGAAGTCTCGTCCGAGACCAGGACGGCGAGCGACTCATAAGGGACTCCTTCTCCGTGAGAATAGGCGAAACTTCGAAAGACGCCTGTCCGGGAGCGGCGATGACACAGCGGCGATATTACGGGTTGAATGAAGCTCGCCGTGAGTGACCTCTGACCTTATTTGAATAGAGTCACAACGGGCAACACGATTTTCTCGCTCCGCGGGGGAGAACATCCATTCCGGCTGGTTGGCGAACGCACCGTATGTCAACCGGTCGGCCGCGGCGGATCGAGCGGGTTTTCTGTTGGCGGCAAAAACTATCTCTGTTCCCGCTGCCCTCAGCTACTCGGCTAACTGGGCTTCCATCTGATCCATCTGATCTACCGACAACGTCGGCAATCACCCGTAGAGAAAAGAATGCCTCTGGCCAAATGACATTGTTACTCTCACTCAGATTGCCTTCCTACCCGGCTGCCGCCGACGCCAGCCACCGAATCTGACGACGCGCGGACGAATAAACGGACGGACGGACGGACGAGGAGTCAGGCGAGCCGAATGGTCGCACAGAGGGCGATTTGATCGATGCTGATCGATTCAACTTGACGCGAACTCACAGAGGGGCTTACCGGTCAATGAGTGTACGGAGTATACGCACACGATGCAGCACGCACCGGTGAGCACGGGAGTGCTCCCATCGAAGTTCCCTACATTCCGCTCAGAATAGGTTCTCTTCCTCCGAGGAGACCTTCCCGCCGAATCCGGTTCTCGACGACGTTTGCGCATTTTTTGGGGCGTCCAAGGTGAAATTTTCAATGAGGGGGCTCCACGAAGCACAAGGGGTACGGAAGGACGAAGACAGAAGCGCTCCGTGGACAACACCTGTCAAGTATGCACTCGACGCTACTAGCGATTTAGTGTATGACGGGGGGAAAGGTGGTGCCCTCGGGGATCAGGAGACGACTATGAGAATACAACCGGGAGGTACATTCGAGCCTCAACGACGACGACGTCGTTCCACGCGCATTTTCGTATTCAAGGGTGAAATAACAACTGCATTCGTCGTGATGGCTCGAGTTCTGCTGTGTCCTCCAGCTCGGTCGAGGGAACGGTTTCTCGCTGGGGAGGGTTGTCAATTGGTGAATTCACCGTTTTACGGCTCGTAGGCTGTTGCCGAGAAATTACGGAACGATTTTATAGTCCTGTGTCCTGTACCATATTCTATGCGAAATTCCCGACGGCTCACCTCTTCATCAAGAGAGCGGGAAGCGAATAGATAACAGAAAACTGGTTTCGACCTTTCCGCCGATCCGCTCCCACCAGGAGTTGGACGAAAACTTCTAGGTAATTGCAACTTATGAACACGTCGTTTCTGGTTTACGGCTCAGTACTTGGCTATGATTCGAGACTCCATAGGTTGACGGGATTAGACAAGCGAGCGAGCAACAGACTATTAGTGACCAACTTTATTTATAACCGGGGATTGAGAGGGAGCCTCGACGGCTGGCCGAATGCGTGCCGTGTGCTGCGTGTCGTGCCATTGAGCAAGCTTTTCGCAAGCATCCCATCGGCAGATGTCTGGAGTCTCTAGCACGACCGCGACGATGCTGGAGTGTGCCATCACGCAATCATCGTCATCGTCGACATCGTTCTGATGAGGATTGCTATTTCACCGTCGATAGCGAAGAGAAGGAAACACCAAGATGCGTTTGCTCGATGACCGGACATCAACCTGGACGTCCACACGCGAACGCGTTTTGCAAACACCGTGCCACTAGCGTAACGTAGTCCTGGAGGGGGCGACTGCGGCCCCTCTGCGAGAGTTGCGACGGCGGACGAGTCAGCGACGTCGGATTCCGTAGCGCGGAAAATCTCTGGAAAATAGACGAGGACGGGACAATATTGGCCGCGAGAAGGTCATGAGTGACACTCTGGTTTCCTTCGCTGCAAATGAAGTGGAATCTCCTCGACGGCGAGCCTCGACTTCGTCGCAGCGGTCTGAGATGGTCGCATAATCATTCATCTCGGGCCGGGATGGAAAAGCGGAATCCGAGGAAGACCGGTTCGGAGAGTGAGGGAGAAAAATCGGGAGCAGAATAGCGGATACGGAAAAGGAGGAGAATCGCAGCGGAGAGAGGAAAGGCTCGATAGCATTAGTGATATCTGTGAAGAGGAATGGAAGCTCTGGCCTGCCGACAGTGAGAATCGGGAACAGGAAAAAGCGAAAAAGGAAGATTCCCGTGCACAGATGGATAGTCACTCCGAA